TAGATTCTGATTCAGTATATCTGGAGATGGAAATGCAAATTCTCGGCAGGGAGTCAAACCAGAATGAACCAGTTCAAAGCCCTGGTCAGAAACCACTAATGTCCAACTGCCAGCACCTGCATTTATTTGCTCTTGCCTCTGGAACCCACTTCAGCTGCTTACTTGGTAGGCCAGAAGCGCAGGAGAATTAACCATCCCTGGGAGCAGCGTTCAACCAGTAATTGACAGGAATTGGTATACAGATATCCCACCTCCCTCACCTGTTGATTTGGATAGCAGAGGTGTACGTTTTACACTGGCTTTCCCAGCAGTATTAAGTTGCAGTCACCCATAGTGGTAACTGGCTTGACAGCACACCTTTTATTGGCTGCCTTCTGGTGCAAATGGTTAACACCCTTGACTGCTAATTGAAAGATTGGTAGGTCTAGTCCACACAGCGGTACCTCTGAAGAAAGGCCTGGCTATCTGCTTCTAAAAAATCAGCCACTGAAAACCTGTTCTGCTCGGACACACATGCGGTTGCCACGAGTTGGTATGGACTTAACGGCAGTTGGGTTTCCTTCCTTGTCTCACTTCTCCACTCTCCTACTGGTATTTTCTTTTACCTCCCAAACAAATCACTTACACTAGAATCTTTGTCTCACAGTATGCTTCTGGGGAAAGCTAAGAACTAAAACACCTCATCTCCTCTTTCAGAGAGACAGTTTCAGGCATCTGCCATGAATGCCCTTACACTTGCAAGAGGCATGGTGAGAAAGAAATCAATGCCCAGATTTAGAATATGCCTGCTATGGGACACCAAGCAGGGTACCCTCTTCTCAAGAAAGTGCTTGGAAGGACACTGCTTGCCTTTGATTTCTTCTCTGTGCTTGATGCTGACTATCACCCTTCAGCTCATACACTCTTTCTCAACACTGGGCACTATTCAATTGACTCAGATTCTGTTTTCTAAATTACTGTCACATCACAGCCTTGCCTCCCTGAGATGGTGCTAAGCCATCTTGATGGAGTATCAAGTCTACCCAAGCTCTTGAATCACACATTTACAGATAGTCTCTTGGTTTATTTCCTGTAGCTAAATACCTATTATTGCATCCTTGTCTTAGTTATCTAGTGCTGCTGTAACAGAAATACCACAAATGGATGACTTTAACAAAGAGAAATTTATTCTCTCACAGTCTAGGAGGCTAGAGGTCTGAATTCAGGATGCCAGCTTCAGGGGATGGCTTTCTCTCTCTGTTGTCTCTGGGGGAAAGGCCTTGTCATCAATCTTCCCCAGTCGAGGAGCTTCTCAGCACAGGGATGCCAGGTCCAAAGGATGGGCTGTTCTCCTGCCTCTTGTTTCTTGATGGTATGAGGTCCCCCAGTTTCTCTGCTCACTTCTCTCTTTTATATCTCGAAAGAGATTGACTCAAGATACAACCTAATCTTATAGATTGAGTTCTGCCTCATTAACATAACTGCCTCTAATCCTGCCTCATTAACATCATAGAGGCAGGATTTACAACACATAGATGACAAAATGGTGGACAATCACACAATACTGGGAATCATGGACTAGCCAACTTGACATACATATTTGGCGGGGGGGGACACAATTCAATCCATAACAGTCCCCTTCTCCTGGAGTCAGCTCTTCTGCTATT